TGCATGGGACTTTGAGCTCAAAAGGACATAAAACAAGCTCATATGGCACATGGAACCTTTCATGGGTGCAAAAGCAACCCAAATCTGCCTAGTGACTCTTTGAATGATGTCATTCAGAAGCTCAAACCCCCAACCACGTTTGCAAACATGGTTGGCTACCAAAATGGCTCATAAAAGCCCTAAATCTTCCCAAAGAGGGATCTAACAAATGAAAGAGCAAGGTATAGACTTTATACCTTCTGAAGACTGCAAATGATGCTCACAACTGAACCCCTCTAGCCTCCTCTTGATCCTTCAAGCTTTTCCTTCTTCCTTGAACCACAAAATCACCAAGATCACTCTAAATGCCTTAAAACTCTTCAATAACGGCTAGGGTTTGCTATGGGGGTCTTCTGGGAGTAAATGGGACAAAGGAGGCCGAGTTAAGGTGTTTAAATAGGGTGCACACCCCTGGATTAGGGTTTTTGTCCAAACAGGGTCTACTCGCCGAGTCCGGGGACCCGACTCGCCGAGTACATCACTTAAACCCCGCGTCCCATCCCGCTTCTACTCGGCGAGTTGGTCCTTCAACTCGCCGAGTCCAAGACCCAAAATGCTATACATTTAAAGATTTGATAAAAGAATACGTACCAAGAACCAGGTGTTACAACTCCACTTTGTTGTGGTGTGTTGGCACATATCAGTTGTCTTATGACTTTGCATTCATCAAGGTGCTTCGCGAATTCTGAGACAAGTACTCACCACCATTGTCAGTCTTGAGCACTTTAATCTACCTTCAGTTAATTTCTCAGCCTTAATTTGGAAGGCTTTAAACTTCACCAATGCTTTACTTTTCTCCTTCACGAATGCTACCCATAGAAACCATTAAAATTCATCGATAAAAGTGATCGTAAATCTCATACCTCTAATAGACGAGCACCTCACTCGTCTAAATACGTCAGTATGCACTAATCCTGTAGGTTCTTTTTCTTTGTAGTTGGACTGATGAAAAGGGATTCTTCCCCACACTAGGTACATGAAACACATTGTCTAGCTTTGTAATGCCTGAAGTTTCTCACTAGATATTAATAAAGATGATGAAGTGATTATGGTCAATAATTGTAATCTTTTGAGGTTAATAAAAGAGGGTTATTTGATTATTATGTTGTATTTGTATCTATATATATATGTATATATTGTGTGTTTATAGCTACGTAATAAAATAGGGATAAAATTCACGTCTAAATAGATTAAATATTAGGACGAATAGCCTATGAGTGAGATGGAGTAGCCGCAATAAGGATTTTGGAGGTATAAGGAGTGCTTAAAATGGACTTATAACGGATGTGTTATGACCCGTTGAAGTTTCACGTTCAAACCGGCACTACTACGATATCGTAAATAACAAATCAGAGTTAGGACGATTATTAGCCTTAGTAATCTAAACAAAAGTCGTAGATATCGTAAAAGTGAATTCGTGCGTATAGGTACCGTCTAAATCTGAGTTCAATAGAGGAAGTTATGATTTTTCTAAAATTCGGCGCAACAATATGCGCACTGATATCAAATTTTAGATCGGTAGATTGTTAGCCAAATCAATCTAAACGAGATTTGAAGATCTCGTTGTTAGTATTCCATTGATATAAAGACAATCGAGATCGGACGTCAGATGAGATAGTTATAAATTTTTAATAAACTTTAACAGTCTAAGCCTATTAAAAAATATAACTTTAAACATAAAGTCCAAATTTCCCGACGGAGTCTAAAGGAAAGTTGTAGATCGGGTCGAGAGCTTTCCGGGGATATAAAGAACATCGACAACGGAGCTCGTATGAAGAAGATACGATTTTCTAAACTTTTCCGAGTAGCGCCATGAGCGAGTGGGTTGCACGGCGCGCACCTTCTAGAAGGTGGGGCGTGGACCACCATATTTGCCACACGTGACAGAAAAACGGGAGGAACAACGACTCAGGTGTGCGCGACGCGCAATTGTGCTATAAATAGGCTTCAACTGATCATTAGTTTCCTTACTCCCCCATCATCCCCTCTCTCTAAATTCTCTCGATTTTAGCTCATTTCCCTTAGTTTTAGCCTTCGGCGAATCCCTGCGATCCCTGAAAAAGTAGTAGATAGCGACTAAAAGCTCTACCAGTTCAATTTCCTAACTTCTGTCAGGAAGAACCTCTGTAAGTTAAGCTACACTCTAGTCTTTTCAGTGTAACTTATATTTATAGTCATAAGTCGTTATTATGAACTTATAAATAAGATTTATCAGTAATTCCATGTCATTATACTGATTGATCTACTTACGGGAGAGGTGTCTAGAATGGTCATGTTGGCTTGGTTGTTGGATTTCAGAAAAACTATTATGCCGAAATGATCCTGCCTCCCAACTGTCCTGCCTGACTGATCCTTACTTGATAGATCTTGATGTAGACATTGAGATTAAGGAGGATATATACTATTCTTAGTCTCCATGATCATTAAACTAAAACTCTGTAGTAATTATACTTAGGTCACGTCAAGGAATATCTGAGGTGTTAGACGAAGCTCTGCCCAAATCACCAGTCACCCATTTATCATGTGAGTGCATAATTACTTTCATCTTACACATAGATATAAAGTATTTAAGATAAGTACATGCTATATGTGCTTATTGTCTGTGTTCCTGATATCTATGCTAGATGAACAATTTATACATGTTTTACTTGATTTTAAATTGTATATGTATTTTATTACCTATAAATATGTTGGGTAAAAGATGGGTAGATATAAGATGACATAAATGATGAGAGATGAAAGGTGATATAGATGATGAGAGATGAAAGGTGATATAGATGATGAAAGATGAAAGATGATACAAATGATTAGATGCCTTGACTTTAAAGATGATCCAATTGTCTAGTGGATTATAGATAACGACCGTGGACTATTCTAGATAGTCCAGTGGAACGCTATCATGTTCACAACATGTAGGTGTTTTTGAACTTAGTGATCACCAGGCGTACTCCATCCCCTCATGGTTGCCTTACTGACATATATTGTTATGGACTCCCCTAAGCGTTATTGTCTATCCCGAAGATGATCCTTATGATAGATCCCTTGAAATTAGATGTTAGGGATAGAGAGTGAGGATAGAGGGAAGGGGTAATCGGGTTGATGATTTGATAATAATAAATAAAGATTTAATTATTGTGGGTTGAAAATCCTATGCGCTCACCGGGCCCCCAAGTCTGACCCACTTAGGCGGGGTTTGTTTTTTTTCTAAAAAACCTTTTCTAACCACTTATTATTGCGCCGCACAACACACGCATAACACTTGGCCCTTTGTAGCTGTTTGTTTTTCAGAAGACTTCCGACTTAAAAACTGCTGCGCGTGTGCTGTGTGGCGCAACACTTGACCCTCTGCTTCAAACCTCTTCACACCTTACTTTAAATTATTGCAGCAGTCTGTAGAGGTTAAAAAACAAACAAACTTTTTATTACATGATGCATCCGTTTGGTCCCTCTCTTCTGTTATAGAGGATTGTAGAGGTGGTCTGCAGACTTTAGACATTTTCGCTTCGAAAAAACAAACGACACCTCAGTTTCTTATATTATAGGTAATGACACAAGGGCACACGTGTGATGATATGATGAGAGATTTATGGATGCCTATAGGCAGTAGTTTAGATACACTAGTGTAAGGCCTGTATTATTTCGTTTATGCTTATGTACTGTATCGACAATGACGTCCCAATGTTTTTAATATAAATAAAATACGTTTCTTCGGAAATGTTTTGATAATATCCTTATCATGTTTTTGGAAACAAATTTCGCAATATTATTCTGTTAAGGATACCATGATTTCAAAATAAACATAAATAAATCGGTCTTTTTTGGCTGTGAAATTGAGGATGTCACAAGTTTTACCTCTTGACCAGAACTGGTGGGAAACGTAACATCTCCAATGTGAGCGATTTTGTGTCATGAGTTGTACGCAATCATCACTACTTGATTTCCACCATATGTCACTGGATTTAGGAGTCAACTTTTATCGCCTGTCATATGATTTGTACAGCCAGAGTCTACAATCCAATCATCCAATGTGTTCATTTAACTCCCAGTTGATTCGACTAGGGCAAAATGTGGCTGCACATGAGTTGGACTCATTTTTCCGAGTTGGACTTCAACTCCTTGGGTCATATCACTATTCACAACTTGGGCCATTAGGGCTTCGGTTTCCCAGCTTGCTTCATGGTTCTCAGCTGCCACCACATTGCCTTCCTCTTTACGAGATCGACAATGCTTTGCCATGTCCTCTTCTTCCACAGTTGTGACATTTGAAGGGAAATCTCTTATCATGAGAAGATGAATTGGACGGTGGTGATGTTTACGGATGATGTAGAGAGAGAGAGGAGTAGGGATTTGTGCGATCTTAAACAATAATGATAAAAAAAGAAATTAAATCAAAAAAATCAAAAAATAATTATTTAACTATAAATTAGTTATTTCAGTTTTGATATAAACAATTTCATATAAAATCAAGTTTGAAAAGAATAAAATCCACAAACAAATTATTGTCTTGAACATCTTATACACGTTAGGTTGGACCAGTTCCACAAAAGGAGAAAAGTGAAGGACCAAATTTGCAATTGTTACTCAATATTAAATAAACTTATTTTTTTTTAAATACTATCATATTTGCGATTAAATATTTATTTTATTAACCAAATGTATATTAGTTTGAAGTGGTAAGCGTGGTCACCACTCACCAGTCATACCAATTTCTTAAAACATTCCTTCACGGCTTCACCCATTCTTTCATAACTCCTTAAAACCCACCGTATCCAACGCGGACATCCCCACCGCACAACCGCGTCCACCGCCGCCCTTAACACCGTTTCCGACAATAGCCGGCGGAGCAAAGGAATAACCCCATCCATAAAACCAAGAATAGTCCCATTCTCCATCGCCAGATCTAGACTTATCTGAACCCTTTCATTACACCAGTACTTAATCAGAACTACGTACAGAAGGAAATGGTTATGGACTCGCCGGAGCAACGGCGGAAGCGGAAGCGGTTTCTGAAACCCACAAACTTCTCACCTCTCCGCCATTTTCCTCCTGTAAGATCTCTCCTTTACTGTTTCGGTTTCTTTGTTTTCTTCTATCTCCTTTTCCGGCGACACACGTCGGCGTTTCATCACGTCATAGCACACTCCAGATTATCCTCTTTATCCGCCTTTCAAATGGACCCCGTTTCAGTTTTCTCCAAGTTTAACGAGTTACCTCAGTTTAAAATAGAAGATAGGGTTTCGTTTCCTGATCATGTTCTACTGTTAGTCTCAAAAAGTACAGATACCGGAACTGAAATCGGAAATAGATTGAAATGTATTTACAAAAGTAACAACTCCGATTCCGATTCGGATCTCGATAACGGTGTTAGAAAGGGTAGAAATCCATTGTCGGTGGAGGAGTACAACGATAATCGTTTTCTCGTTCGTTGCCCGCTCCCTCCGGTGAACTTCTCATCTCTAATCACACTACAACAACATGGTCTGATGATCGATACAACAGAAGATAAACCTGTAAATTCATGGGAGAATCTAGCGTATGAGGCGGTGTTGGACGGAAACACCGCCGTCGTGTTCGTGAAAGGGATCAGCCATCGACAGGATAAGGAATCCGACCCGAAACAATTCAGTTGTCATTTCGGATTAGGCGATTGGAAAACCGGTGACAAATTCATGCTCACAACCAGAGCTTTAACGGCAGCTCAAGAAGTCGTCCGGTGTATGTTACCAAGAAGCATCCTCATGCACCCGGAGAAAGCTCTAGGCATACGCGCGACCGTCAGTTTCCGAATGCCCAGAATCCATGGCCGTTCCCACCGGATTTTTCTCCCTTCTGTCGCCAAAATCTCAACTTCAAAACCAACCACAACCATGAAAAAACACGATCTTTGCGTCTGCACAATGCTATGGAATCAAGCTGATTCAATTCGTGAATGGGTAACCTACCATTCATGGCTCGGTGTACAAAAATGGTTCATCTACGACAACAACAGTGATGACAAAATCAAAGACGTCGTCAAGAATCTTAACCTCGAGGGCCACAACATCACCCGACATATCTGGCCATGGATCAAAACTCAAGAAGCTGGATTCTCTCATTGTGCTATGCGAGCAAGAACAGCCTGCAACTGGGTTTCTTTCATGGATATAGACGAATTCTATCACTTCCCACGTTTAACCTCCACCATAACCCCATCTCAAGGTTCTCTCCTAACCCTAGTTTCTAATTTCACTTCATCTTCTTCAATCGGAGAAATCAGAACATCTTGCCATAGCTTTGGGCCATCTGGGTTAACTTCACGACCTAAAAAAGGAGTCACAGTAGGGTACACCTGCAGATTACAAAGCCCAGAAAGACACAAATCCATAATCCGACCCGATGCACTTGACTTTACCCTAATGAATGTGGTCCACCATTTTCATTTGAGGAAAGGGTTTACGTTCGTGGATGTGGATCAAAGAGTTGCAGTGATTAATCATTATAAGTATCAAGTGTGGGAGGTTTTTAGGGCAAAGTTTTATAGAAGAGTTGCTACTTATGTGACGGATTGGAGGGAAAATCATAATGAAGGGTCGAGAGATCGAGCACCGGGTTTGGGTACAGAAGCAATTGAACCGGTTGATTGGAGATTGCAATTTTGTGAGGTTTGGGATACGGGTTTAAGGGATTTTGTTTTGGGGAATTTGGTTGATGTTTCCACTGGGGTTTTACCATGGGATAGATCTTTGTGATATATAATATTTGGGTATATTGATATTGATATAATTGATAGATTGATTGATTCTTTGAACCAAGTTAGGGACTTTTCTAATCATTGTACTTGGTTTTTTATGTCATTGTTGTAAGTTTTGGACAAATTATGAAAATACAAATGTAGGAAGAACCATTTTTTTATTCACCCTTGTTTGGCGGACACGAAAGTCTTCTGTGGAAGCAGTCTCTCTGTCATTCAATGGAGGTGACGGTGACAGGTGACGGGCAAGACTATTTACATGTAACCTCTCGGTCTTTAATAGACTATTTGTTTTGTGATTAGGGTATGGTGGTTGTGTAAATGTAGAAAGAACTATTTTGTATTTGGCATTATTTTCACAATTTATGATTTTTCTTTTTGTATTTTGGACTTTTGGTAGTATGAATAGTGTGTTTGCTTTTGAATTGTTCAAAAGAGTTCTTATAGTATGGTGGTTGAGTGGTTTTTGTGCCAATTTAAGTTTGTTTTCTCATTTTCAGCCAAAAGATCTCTTCAAGATCTCATATGTCAAGTTGATGACTCTTGTGCAAATTCAAATTTGTATTCTTGCATATTGTTATATTACTTTATAAACATTTGTTGTAATACTTTTAACTTGGATAAAATTTGCAAAAATAACTATTTTTGTGCCGATTCAAATATGTTTTTCTCATTTCAGCAAAAAGATCTCTTAAAGATCTCAAGTTGTTGACTCTTGTATTAATTCAAATTTGTATTCTTGTAAATTGATGTATCATTTTATAAACATTTCTTGTAATATTTTAAACTTGGAGAAAATTCAAAAAAGTATTCTCAAGTTTTTTTTTTTTTTTTGTTTGTTTGTTTGTTTGTTTGTTAAGTCAACCAAAAATTACCTGATTTCGACTAGTACACTTATTTTGTAGGGGTGCACATCGAAATGTGGAGGCATTGCGAAATGAGTGTAAATAGTCTATGGGGCCAAATCAAGATCGTGAATAAATTTATTATATGAAGATTATAATCAACTCAGTGCAATAATAAGACCAATTTTCTCCAAACAAGTTAGGTTAGGGTAAAACAAAATCATTATAAGAATTTTTTTTCATGAGTAGTGAGGATGGGAAAAAAGGTTTGTGCGCACGAAGTATATAAAGAAGCCAAAAAAAAAAGAAGAAAAAAAGAAAATGACTAATAAAGGAGAGTATAATTCGAGGTGAAGCTATCTTTATTCAATTCATCAAATTGGTGAGTGGCTTGCTGCTAATAACCCCATACCCCTTTCAAAATTTTCGGTAATAGCTCATTAAACCCAAAAAGCCTCTTAACCCCTTGACAGCAATGAATTCAACTAAACATGCTATCAATCTTCCTTTTATCCGCTGATACCCCTTCATTTCTCACCACATGTCCAACATACTCTAACCTTGCATGGCCGAAAGAGCATTTCGATTTCTTCACAAACAACTTGTGTTGTTTTAAAGTTTTAGAGATATATGTGGGAATAAATACAAAAGAACGCAGAGAATGAAATTTACAAGTTAATGAAATCAAGAGAGATAAATATAGGGAGATAAGAAACGCGAGGTATAATTAGAATGAAAATGGTCGAGTTTTAGTGAAAGATAAAAATATTGGAGAAAATGACAAAACTAGCCAAATTACCTAATTATTTTTCACTTAATAGCCAAAAGTTAGCCTTTAGTCAAAAATAGCCAACAAAACAGTAGATAATTAAGGAAACATACGGTTTCGTCATAACCGGATTAAATGAATTACGGTTTGTGGCCAATTGACTACTATTCCAGAGTCCATCTAATGTTTAAGGGCCTAGTAACCTAGAATATATAAAGTTGTAAATTTCAATTTAGGTAATTTTTTAGTGTTTGAAGCTAGATAAACGCTCTTAATGGTGGCTCCGCAAGACAACCAAGTATTTCTCGTAACTTTTTTTTGCTTAATGTCATTCACTATGAAATATATTAGTATTGGTTCTATATATATATATATATATATATATATATATATATATATATATATATATATATATATATATATTGAAAAAAAACTAAAAAAAATATGCAAACCGTAGGTGCGGTATGACGGTGTACAAGCTGATAATAAACAAAATGTGCATTAGCAGTGTGTACACCGTAGGTGGCATACCGTACTTATGGTTTGCACATTTTTTCTAACTTGTATAGTGATATAGTTGTATGTAATCTATGAGCCGACATTGGTGCATTCGACCCGTCAAACACTGGGAGGAGACTCACCTCAATCCGAGATAACTGAACACACACACTGCTGCAACAAAGATCCTCACACTGAACACAACAAAATTACCCCTGGTTAATAAATAAGACATTTTCCCAAAATCCAATGTCTAAACCATATCCTATCCTACCAATGGGTAAACGACCATTTTACCCTTCCCATATCTGATCCAGCAACCCATGGCCCAAACCCCAAAAGACTCGAGGCCCAAAAGGCCCAAAATCAACTTTCCAGGAGTACGCCCCGCGTACTGCCTGATGCTGCACAAGGTACAACCCGCCAAAGCTTACAGACATGAAATCTTTGCATTACGCTGAGTGTACGCATACGTACGCCTAACATACTCATCAGAGGGCCAAAACTCTCATTAAGCACTTAATGCTTAAGACCAAACGTCCAAACTCAGATCCAACCTCTAGATAAGGTCTTAAACTATAGAGTTGGCAACTTTACTCATTTGCATGTCGTAATGGGACCCAAAACCCGTTTTTGTCCATCAATATCCATAATATGACCACCAACTTTACCATGATTCATCAAAACCCATCAAGATGACATTTTTATAGACCAACAACCTCAGAAATGCTAAGATCTAACATTCTAAGCTCCTGGAGTATCCCATACTCACAAGAATGACTCTAGGGACCATATTACACCCAAAGCAAGCCCTAGAGTAGATCTAACACATAGAGTCATCAAGTTAGAAACTTTATACCTCTAGGAAGTTGATGGAGATGATTAGAGCTTGGATCCTCAAGCTCCAAGCCAATGCTTCTTACAATATCTCCTATTCTCCAAAGTCCATCAAAAACCACACCAAGGCTTGAAATTCACACAAGAGAGGCTAGGTTTTTGAATTTAGGGTTAAGGGATGGAGGTTGAAGATACTAGGGTTTCCACATAAGTTAAGGCCTTTAAATAGGGTCCAAGACCCTAAATTAAGGTTAGCACCTAACTGGAGTACGCCATGCGTATCACTGGTACGCCCAACGTACTCCAAGGCCATGCGCAATCCATTCGAGCTAGTACGCCCGACGTACACCCTGTACGCCTAACGTACTAGGCTTAGCCCAGAAACCTCCTAACTTACGAAGGCCATGACTTCTTCGTTTTAGGTTCGATTTCGACGATCCTTATATACAGAAAGGTAATGAGAAGCTCTGCAATCCTATCAACTCTCCTTTGCTTTAAAACTTTCCGAACTTAAATCCAAAATTCATAAAAGGCCCAAACTATCACTTTACAGTTATACCCTTGGGCTCCAAAGCACAAACCAAACTCTCGGATCTCCTAATCCACATTATCCACATCCTAATCCACATTATCCACATCCAAAGGGGTCTAAATCTCCCTTTCCCCAAGGCCCAAAGCTTTATGATGACTGCTCTTCGGTTCACAACCCCGAATTAGGAAACGATTCGAAACTGGGTGTTACAACAATTCTTGCACCAAAAAATGAAGTCGTCCAAGAAATAAACGATCGTTGGTTATCACTATTTTCGGGAGCTGAAAAAGAATGCTTAAGTTCAAATAGTATTTGTCATTCAGATTATGTTCACGATAACTTTGATGAAAGTTTATACCCGCTTGATGTTTTAAATGGTCTTAAACCATCAGGTTTGCCAATTCATAAGTTGGTATTAAAAGTCAATGTTCCATTTATGTTACTTAGGAATATTGATCCGGGTTGCGGTTTGTGTAATGGAATGAGGCTAAGAGTTATAGTATTGGATAATCGTGTTATAAAAAGTAGAGATAATATCCAAAAGTAATATAGGAAACGTACATTTATTCCGAGAATGTATTTGACGCCTTCAGATAAAAGGATTCCTTTTACATTTCAAAGAAGACAATTTCCACTAGTTGTATGTTTTGCGATGACAATAAACAAGATTCAAGGACATTCATTATCGAAAGTGAGTTTGTTTTTAGACAACCAATGTTCACTCATGAGCAGTTGTATGTTGCATTGTCGAGAGTTCAAAACAAAGATGGATTAAAAATATTAATTTTAGACAAAGATAGTAAACTTAACAATACGACATCTAATATTGTATTCAAACAAGTCTTTGAAAATTTCTAATTCATAAACATTATTTACAATATCTCAATAATTTGTTTTATTAGTATATATTTAATTACCTACTGATTAATCATTTCGTTTGTATTTGTGTAAACTTAATAAGTTTATATAAATATATGATAAACTTACCATACGACATATGTTGTCCTATATTGATTACAATTTTATATTAAACTTTTATCTTTAATAAATTAGTGTGGTATACGAGAGACTCACACCTATTAAAAAAATATAAAATGATATTTGATTTCTCCTACCAATAACTCATCCAAATATCAACACCCCTGTATGAGCCTCTTGAGATTATATCATATACACATTATATTATGATAACAAAAAACATTTAAGCGATTTCAACAGCACTGTTATAGATATACAATCAAAAGCACAGATCTAATGACAACTTCATCAGTAGTCCAACCACATATGTTTCACATCTCGATATTTTTAAACCACAAACATAAATATTTTGTTTTTTAAAAAACTTTAATTTAAGAAAACATATTATTAATACTTGTATATTTTTAAAGGCCTTTTGTTTTATTATGTAATGCATGAATAATAAACAACCAAAACATTAAGATCTCAAAACAAATATGAACAACAACTTCAAACAAAATATTTATTTTTCTTTGAAGTATTATGAGTACATTACTTTATTTAAGTACCAATTAACATTTAAAGATCCAAAAAGTAACAAAGAAAAATTAAACAAAATAAGCTTATTTTAAGTGACAAAGAGTTTCATCTGTAAAAATTAGTAAATTAACAATCTATACCCACCAAAGGTTTCTTGGATCTGCTTTTTCTTTGAATATTTCTAGACCTGAAAAACAAAAACATGAACAAAAAGGTCTCAGATATGACAAGCACACAAATCTCTAACATAGAACACATAGATCTATGAATACTCACATTATTATTTTGTAACATATTCATATCCATGTCCTCCCTGATATGATCACCAAAAATCTGCACAGGAGCATCTTCCACCCTTGAAGTGATGGAAATGGTAGGCATCTCTCACCGTAATCGACCTAACTGTGACCTCCGAGAGTAGTTTCATAAGAGTGTGGCAACCACCATCGATCTTCCCTGACTTCTTTATGACACATATCGGTGCCTTGACATGTGTGTTCATTAGGGCATAAGATACTGCAATCTCCTCACTGAGATAACCATAGATATCTCCCTTCATTTCATCCACAACATCAATATCAGGATTTTTAGAAAAAGATCTAATGGTAGCAAAAATAATCTTCATTAGTACATCATACTCGATAAATCTTGGATCTCCCTTTTTCACCGATGCAAATGCATATGTTTTATCCTCGATTTCCAACCAGCTCACCCCACGCTTTTCTTTTTTTATATCCATCACTTCACTCACCTTGGTCGCCACATCATCAGGGATCAACCCTGCAACTCGGATGCCTAGATCATGAGCACGACAAGCATTGAGCAAGGCAGTCCAAGCAAAGACATCCCACTTGCTTGGCGTTGATACGATGAAACTTAAAGCTTCATTCAGTTGCCCTGCCTTGATTAGCATGTTAATGATACACATATAGTGGTCTAAACCAGGTTTGACACCCTTCTGTTTCATTAACTCGTACAAATAGTAGAACCCTTGTTCCACATGCCCCGCATGCCCACATGCACTCAGAACACCGAAAAAAGTCACATCATTAGGATCTTCCCCCGATCTCAACATTTCTTGAAACAAAGCCAATGACTCGTTACCAAGGCCATGATAGCAGTATCCATTTATCATCGTGTTCCACGTTGTAACATCACGATAATTAGTCATACCTAAAAACACCTTTTCAGCAGCTTTAATGTCGCCAGTCCTTGAGTACATGTTAATCAAGGCATCCTCGACATTCTTATGAACCTTGAACCCAGTCTTCTCTGTAAGTGCATGTAACATACTTCCGCATCTCCTAGAGAATAACTCTGCACTAACAGTGAGTACAACAGAAAATGTAGATTCGTTTGGGACAACATCCTTATGTCGCATTACTGCAAACAATTTGAACGACTCTTCGAAACACCCATGTTCCAAGTAAGCAGCCAACATTGCTGTCCATATAACCACATTGTTTCGAGGTTCAAACCTGTTAAAGACTTTTCTTGCACTTAAAATCTCTCCACATTTTACATACATACTCATCATTGTGCTGCATACAGACTCATCGGGCTCAAAATGATAGCTCTTTAACAGCTTGTTGTGAACTTGCCTCCCCAAGTTTAAATCTTTAAGGAGAGCACAAAGACCAAAAACACCAATATAAGTAGCTTTGTTCCACAACATATCTTCTTCAGCCAACATTCTCCTTAACATAATCAACGCCTCATCCAAGTAACCTTTCTCGACAAGTCCGATCAAGATCAGATTATAACTGCAGGTGTCCGATTGCAATCCAGGGTTACAATAAAGTAAAACCTCCATAGCCCCAATGACATCCGACAACAGGGAATACAAGCGTACAAGCGCAGTTTTCACGTAATGATTGAACACTAATCCAGATTTCAAAAGGTACCCGTGACACTGCCTGCCTAATAAAAGGAACCTAACATTTAAACAAGACGAAAGCACTAATCCAGATATGTAGTCGTTAGGTGGGCAAGACTCATCATGATCCGAAACCATTGATTTAAACAATCTAAGAACTTCAAAAGCAGACCCATTTTGGAAATGCCCTAACGTTAGAGCGCCTGCAGATCCCAGTGCTTCACTTTTTGAGTAAAGATCGATCAGAGCATGATTCTCCTGTATAGTATCTTGATTAGACACTATAAAACGAGTGTGAATTAGTTTGCTGAACTCAAGGTTTTTATTGATCACCCCAAAGTATCTTAGGAGCTTAGCATTTTCCTGTCGAAAAAGGATAGGAAAAAGTGTTTGCCGACTCAGGATAACAGACATTACTATAAAGTATAAATCCACCTCCGTTCACTTATCCTTGTTTAATACTCCTTCAATACTGCATGAAACTTGACATAGATTAGATACTGTAAACCATTTACCTAAAATATCAAAAAGGAAGACACAACAACACTAAAGAAAGATCCGATCGTAAGAACTAGTTAATACAACGAAATCACAAATTAAAAGAAAATGATTATAAATGAAAACAGAAGTACATGAGGGGAATAGCAGGATTATGTTCTTAAAACTTTCTTACCACTTTCCTGCCATACCCACACGCATCCCTAAAGAAAGATCTGATCTTAAAACCAGTTAATCCAAGAGAATCAGAAAAGCCTCACCTTCGGAAGTGCTTATAGATGAAAACATAAGTATCTCTGTACCCCAAATTCGAACCACAACATCTTCACCATCACTAAGGAATAATGATGGTCTTCTTCAGAGGTCCCCAAACAGCTATATTGATCCTTCCTTGAAGACCCTTAAGTACTACTACAGATTCACCAACCTCTGAAATACAGTATTACACAAATTATCACTCTATAACACAAACCAATTACCAATGCATTAAAGTTCCTTTCTCTACTCACAGGGTCACCGGCAATGCGTTGTACGTGGATAAAAGTTAAACCCATAAAAGGGTCAGTGGTGATTACAGCAAGCTTATCACCAAAAGAAAAATCCATAGCTCTAGCAGGGGAATAGAAATTGAAAGTGAAAAGTTGTGCTCCGCTCTCAATATCTGCACTCCCGGTAATCAATGTCTTGATTTCCTGCACAACAGATACCAATGATTAATCAGTTCAGTTTGCCAAAAGTACTTTAAAACTCCACCGCCACCGCCCTCACCCACCGACTGTGGTTTTTTTTTTCGTGGCAAAAATCGAACGAACGTTCAGTTGCAGCCTTCTTTTTACCTATCGGATTAATAGCGCCACTGGAACGAGCATGATTATCCATTCCCATTTGAGTTAATTTTAACATCACATTCAAGTTTAACAGGAATAAGACATCACCCATTGTTCTAAACTCAAGTTAGGAGATTGATTTAATTTCACTTATAGGAGTTCTTTTTGAACTCATCAACCCAATATGCCACAACAATACAAGAAAGTTGGGTATTAGCAGCGACGCCTTTAGCGGCGACCGCCCCCATTAACGGCGACATGTCATTGAACGTTACATGTGGCCGCTAATGGGGTTGTCGTCGCCAAAAGCATCGCCGCTATTACGGTACAATGTCGATCTGCGTCAAATGAACCCTATCCGTTCGACATGTAATTGACCCATTTCTGATTATTTCACTACAACAAACACCACCTGTGCGCCGACGACATTTATACAGACGACACATGTCGTCGGTAGAACTCTACCTATTCAAACGACATGTCGTAGATACCAAGTTGACCAAAATTCATTGATCTTGAACAATATGCCGAGTCTGAACAGGGTAGGCGGGAACGGAATATTTTTTCCGGGTTTTCTGAAACGTATGCCGACTACAAGTCGCGGGTATAGGTAAAGGAAATTTTAATTTCCAATGTTCTTATAATTCGTGTTCCAGTAACTAACAACGATATAGTTTTCCTGTAACTTTTCCTGACGACAGGTCGTCAGTCATTATATTTTTTTACTTGTGAGAAAACAATACGACGTCGTAATATTTAGTCCCTATACCGACAACTTGTCGTCTGTATAAGGTTTTAACCCCAATACGGCGGGTTTGTCTCCCTCATTTGCAGCCACCGTAATCTTACACTTCTCTCTCGAAATGCCATCTTCAGACCAGAATTCCGGCCACCTCCTTCACCTTCGACCACCGGTATAGGTAAAATCTTGACCATAAGTTCGATTTTCTCCTCTTATTGAGGTTTTATTTTGATTTGGGTATTTAATATTCCACCTTTTTTCCTTGTTTTCCGGTTAGGGTCTCACTAGAGGACCACCGCCGACCTCACTCTCCTTCCAACCTCTCTCTGACCGTCGACATCAGGTAAGATGTTTGATTTTTGACTTTTGAGTTTTTTTTCTACTTATTTCTCTTTTCCTGTGACCATAAGCCACCACCGAAGGACCACCGTTGAACACCCCCAAAATCCGGTGGCCACTGCCCACAGAGCAGGTAAGGATGCTTTGATTTGTTTTTTTACTGATGTGCTGTTGTTGTTTTCCGGTGACCACCAGCCACCACCAGAGGACCACCATTGAAGCCAACCCAGAGAAATCCCGTTACCACAGCCATATAACTGGTATTTTTTATGTTATTTTATTTTGGTTGGATAATCTTATAAAATTGTGATATCTTGTATGCCTAGTATGATTATTTGTATAATTGTTTGAAATTGATTGTGTGAAAGTGGTATAAGTTGTTTGGTAATCGTATGAAATTGTGGTATAGGTTGTATGAATCTTGTGATGAATTTTTGTATAATTGTATAACAAATGATGATATGGCACCCAAAGAGAAAACAAAAAAGACTCGATTCACGTACTTCTTAAACAACACTTGATGCAGATGATCAATCCCTTTTTTTTGAAACGGCTAAATATCTAAACCTACTCCTAAATACCACCTATGTCTCCTAAGAGACTTGAACCATGACCTCTCATTTGAGACCATCACTCAGGCCAAAAGCCTTTTGGTGGTCCCTTCTTCTTGACTGCTTATTTAGACAAGATGAAAAGGTTAAGTATTTATTTGATAATTAAAGTGTCGGATGCTGGTTAAATTTTACAAGATTTATTTACATGATTGTTTATGTTTGCATAATATTTCAATCTCGATAGCTTTCTTGAATCCTTCTGATGTTTTCAAGCTTCTAGAATCTCTCATATCTATGATCCAATCCAGGTGCAATCCACTGTTCCCTTTTAAATTTTTTGAAACTTAGACATGATTACATATGATCAAAATAGCTATCTAATCTTATTAATAATAACTATTTAGGAGGTTGTATGCATTTGAATATACTTTGTCAAATTTTGACTTGTTTGGCTTGTCTGACCTTTTTTTAACTAAGTCTGTTACCTATTTTGCCCTTTGGATATATAATATTGGGATAATGACAAAAATGATCACCATATGATGTGAAATTTCATAAATTGTCATCCCTTTTTTACTAATAGCACAACTATTTCTCAATGGATCAATTGCAAATTTACCTTTTTATTAATAAAAACCTGTAAATAAATTACGAAATTGCGTCATTCTTTTGCAAGTATAAATAGTTTCACAATAAAATAAGTAGGGACCCTTCATAAAGAATGTTGCAATTCGAACTAACCGATTGCAAAATAGGTGTTATTTTGTGCTATTTGTCAAAAAGATGGTGTATTATTTAAATGTCATCATATGTTGGTCATTTTTGTGATTATTCTTAAAATATAACCAATTTTAGTAAATAGGCCTGAATTGTTGCCTTGATTGAAAATCTGACAAATAATTGGTTGTATGAGAGAACAGTGGTATGGTATAAGTTAAAGTTTAATTATATATAAATATTTTTTGTTTTTCTCTCTTCTTAGTGCACCACGGATGCAACCGAATTTATAACCAAAGACTTGATTGGCAGACGCATCAAAGTTTGGTGACCTATGGACGAAGTGTAAGTTTCTTTTCAAAATTTTATACAAAGATTCATGAAAATGTGATATTTTTTTCCTACAAGAATTGTTATTGATGCATGAAAGTATAAATTACAGGTTTTATGAGGGCTTGGTGAAGTCTTATGATCATGAAAATAACATGTGGTGAGATGAGATTCCTTGTTTTTGAGTTAATTTGTCACATTTGCCTTGTTACTCGATGGTCAAAATAGTTGACTTATTGATATGGTTTGATGTGCATATCTAACACTCGGATCATGTTGAAGGTATTATATGATGATGGAGATATTGAAGTGCTATGTTTGGATAAGGAAAGGTGGAAACTTGTAAAGAGTGGGCACAAACTTGCAGAGGTATGATTCCTTGTGTTTATGCTTAGGTTTTGTTTGGTTGGAAGGAATGGAATGAACCATTCAATTACATTCCATTCCTTCCCTGATTCCATTCTACAATACACTACAATTGATTTCTGATGATGTTTCACTCCACCCCCTTTACAGAGGAAGCTCATGACATATAGTCCACACCCTAAAGAAGGGTAAGTCACTATACTCATGATATTTCAACTTGTAATAAAATAAATACTAATTTTATTTGTAGTTTATAACATACATTCAAGGATTTCACATGCTCTTAAGTCTTAATCTTTTCATTTCTCTTGTCCAGAGCATCTAAGAAACTTAAGTCATCGGGTAGCTTCAAGCAAACTAAGGAATCAACTGACATGTGAGAAGGATATAATGATATATGACATTTTCATTAATTTTTGTCTTTATAAAATTTATTTATCGAAGTTTTTTGTAATGGTAGATCACCATCATCTGTGGTAAGAGGAAAAAGAACCTCAAGACAGAATTTGAACCAAGGGCAAAAAGGGGTATCACAAAGAAGTGCATATTTGGAAATTCGCAGAAGCAAAGATCCTGATGCACCCATGCCTGAGGCCATATCCTCTAAAATCAACAATTTGGGTGCAGTTGAAGGTGTAACACGAATCCTTCATGTTTCTTGAGTGTATATGGAACGAGGGTATTTTGGTCTTTTTGTAATATATGTCTCTTTACTTGTTCAGACAAGTTAGAAAAGTCAAGATCCAAGGAGAACCAAACAACAGGAGATGCAGAGCATCTCAAATGATTCCATGTCTAAAAAACAAGTTTGGTAAATATATTGGGCTTGTTTTAAAAACAGGTTTGGTAAATATAAAAAATACGTGAAAAATATATAAAAACAAAACACCTATACCGACGACATGTCGTCGGTATAGGTTTTAGCCATTCAAACCGTTAGGAACCTTTCCGGACGACTTATAATCGGTATAACTAACCTTTACCGACGATTAGTTGTCGGTATAGATTTATATCAAAACTTTTTTCCCCTCGAAAATCAGTTCCGACGACCCTTTTCTAGAATACAAGCTGTCTGCATTGCTGAATCTGTATAGACGACACCTATCACGACGACTTTTTTGACTTTTACCAACGGATCTATTCCGACGAATTTGTACGGACGACAAGTCATCGGTATAGCCTGTGCCGACGACATGTTGTCGGTATAGGGATATAAAAAGTCGTCGGTATAGGTATCGTTCCTTGTAGTGTTTGTTCATGTGTTCCCGTGTTGGGAGTACTTTTTGAATCATCGACTTTATGAGTACTCTTTTTGATTTTTATTTCCCATAGAGTAAACCTTAAACACTAAACTATGTTTCAGTTGCATTATGTCTATTGATAAAAGTTGGACTACTAATCCACATCGTTAATCTCCCGAGTTTCCACTAGGACTCGACTTTTTTTTCAAGAGATCCATATCACACCTATATTTTAAAGGTGAAACCAGATGTCCGTGTTGATGTGAATTTATGAGTTTTGGTTTGGCATGCGGAATTAAAGAACACACAATGAACACGGTGATTTCGGTGTTTAAGAGATGCATTCGATTATGTATGGTGTTACAAAAAGGGATCTAGATCTAAATCTACATAAATAACACACACTTACACACTCAATTTTACATCTCTCAAGCACACCTCTACAAGTGGAATAAACTCACCTTATATAGAGGTGTTTACATGTCTCTCTCTCACTCTCTATCTCATAAGTCATAAGGCTAATACACCACATGCAAGTGGGTCTACAAAAGCCAACCTATTTACAAAGTCATACATGGATAACTTTGCACCCAACATTCTCCCCCTCAAAGTTAGGAATGAATGAATCGCTTCAAATCTTCCAAACTCGAGGAACTACGCGAACGAGCCTCAAGCGTGACACATGTTGAGATGAACTTCAAATCTTCAATTCTTCCATGAATCTTCAATTTGGGTTCTAGAATGTGAGACCATACAAACCGAGCATCAACGAATGATCACGAGCTTCTCAAACTCCAAATAATCACCCTAAAGTTGAGCATAAAGACACACCCCGAAAATCTTCAATAAATCCAAACCCATCTCGAACCAAAATCACTTTCGAATCTCCAATCGCATCATTTCATAAACTTCAAAAATTCAAGGTCACTTTAGTCTTCAAGTTCGCGTAATATGAAAAATTCAACTTCGAATTTCCATATAAATTTCTCCCCCTTTTTATAATCGAAATTTGATTATAAAACCATCAAGGAAAGAGAACATGCTCTATTCGGAATTTTTCGTGTCAAAACTCCCCCTTAACATGTGGCATAAACTTTTTGCTTCAATCCGGAAAATCCAAAAAACTTCAATTTTTAGCTTCGTTCACGCATCGCTTTTGACAAAATTTCTCAAAAATGGGTAGAAATTGTCAATTTCAAAATTCTGCAGTGACCCGGTGCGCCCAAAACAGCCAAAAATGAGAAACTCTCCCCATTTTTCGAAACTGGGTAGAAAGCGTCAATTCGCATTAACTGCAGGGGCCTGAAATGCATATTCTTCAATTTCTCAGCAAAATCAGTCCATTTTCGAAATTAGGCAAAAACTGTCCAACTTTCGAAACTTCAATGACTGATTTCGAAATTTCTGCTTTTTGTTGTCCCAAAATGTCAAAAATCACCCTAAATGTTGAAGTTGGTTATGTTGTGCCAAACTGTCGAAATTTCAGGGACTGTTTTTCGAAAATTCTTCCTCCTTTCTTCCAAACTATCGAAAATTACCCCAAATGTCGAAATTTGACCATTTGTGCCACTTCGTTAAAAATGCAGGGACCAAAATCGAAAATGATTGTTTTCTTCCCCAATCTAACGAAATTAAATGCAGATAACGAAACTTCATCTTCACTTCGTTAATTTCAATCACGAAATCCACAACACCATTTTAACGAAACTTTTCCTTGAAATGTCGAAAATTACAAACTTTCGTTAGTCCGGGTATCACCAAATCCTTCGATTCGTTATTTCCCCAACCCAATTCTTTGCCTTAGTCAACAACCATCGACTATTCGTTAATCAACAACAAATTCGCTTTTTGACTTAGATCAATTGACATCCAAACCATCCATAATTCATCCTTCGTTCTCAATGTGAAACTCATCTTTCCAGTCAATTTCAAAAACAATCAACTCCAAATCCAAATCAATGAACATCGACTCATCCCAGTCCAACAATTTGCTTTTCAATCCTCAATCAAGAACGAAATTAAAATAATCGCTGTTCATTCTTAAACATTCTTTGACTTTCGAAAGTCAAACATCCAAAATCGACAAACACGAAATCCATAATGTTTAAAACAATTTCAGATCAAAACCAAAACTTCTGTTCTTCAACTGTTCTTCATCGATTTCAAGTGTTCTTGCCCAATTTCATAGAAATCAAAAATCAACTGTCGATTTCTAGAGTAAGATTTGAATAAGATCGTTTTGAAGATCGAACACATGACACAAAATCGATTCAGAATACTATTTTACTGATCAAAACAAGCATCAATCAATTATTGAGAATGATAAAATTGATGAAATCGAAACATTGGAAACAAGAACACAACAAGAGTCAAGAACATACAACTCATGAATGTACAACTCTTTTAAGCGCATGATAAAGATATCTCAACAGATTTAAGAATCAGAACAAAGGATTATTATCACAAAAACATATGTGGATCATAATTGATGAACAATAAGTATTCTTGATTTGGGCTCAATGAAGTGATATCAGATTAAAACGCACTTTGGGCCCCAAATAAGATCGATGAACAGGAATATCCATATAATTGGGCTCAAAACAAACGAATGACAGTAATGGATTTAAAATGTTTTTGGGTCAAATTTTGATTCAAACGAATGATTGCAATTTGAAAATCAAATCAAACGAACAAATATGAGATTGGATCGGACTTTGATCAACAAAAAATTTATTGGATCACAACAAATCGGTTTTTCAAAAAAAATTGATCCAACGAGTCAAAACGATCAAAAATCAAGAACGCAACGCACGAATCATTGAGATTAAAAGAGATCATAGAGAGAGACTCACCAAAAATGCTCCAATTGTGACAAATTTTGCCAAACCGAGAATCGTTTTTCAAAAAATCATGTCGACCTTGAAGACCCGCTCTGATACCAATTAATGTGAATTTTTGAGTTTTGGTTTGGCATGCAGAATTAAAGAACACACAATGAACACAGTGATTTCGGTGTTTAAGAGATGCATTCGATTATGTATGGTGTTACAAAAAGGGATCTAGATCTAAATCTACATAAATAACACACACTTACACACTCAATTTTACATCTCTCAAGCACACCTCTACAAGTGGAATAAATCCACCTTATATAGAGGTGTTTACATGTCTCTCTGTCACTCTCTATCTCATAAGTCATAAGGCTAATACACCACATGCAAGTGGGTCTACAAAAAAAGTCATACATGGATAACTTTGCACCCAACACGTGTGAGCAATGTGATAATTGTTACTTTATGGATCCGAAAGCAATGAGATGTCATGTTCGTATATATGGTTTCAGTCGGTCATACAAAACATGGACATATCATGGTGAACCTTTAATTCCTCTGGTTGTAGATGTCGTAGCGACAAGTAACGAGATGTCTGATGTTATCGACGATGTTATGTGGGAGTCGAGAGAAAATGATACCAACCTCGATGAAAGAAAATGTATAACCAGGATAAACAGTTGTTACAGGAAGTCAAAACCAAGTTATATCCTGGTTATACGTTTTCTTTCCTTGATTTTTTTAGCAAAGCGTGATGCATATCAAGGTCAACAACAAATGGACTGATAGTTCATTTGGTCAACTCCTTGAGTTGTTGCATTCAACATTTCCACAAGAAAACAAGGTTCCCTGTTCATATTGTCTAGCCAAAAAGAAACTGAAGAAGATAGGCTTCGGGTACGAGTCAATAGATGTGCGTACAAACGATTGTTTTCTCTTCTGGAAGGAACACAAGTCATTGCAGATTTGTCCCGTTTGTAAAGAGAGTCGGTGGATTGATAAAAACACCAAGGGTAAGAAGGTGGCTCATAAGGTGTTACGATACTTACCAGTGACCCCTAGACTACGACGTTATTGTTCAAGGTATACTTCCAAAAATATGATATGGCATAGTACCGGGATATCAGAAGACAATGTGATGCGTCATCCCGTTGATGGAGAGTCTTGGCAAAAATTTTACGTAGATTACCCTGAATTCTCGAGTGAACCTCGCAACGTACGCCTAGGACTAGGAGCTGATGGATTTAATCCGTTTGGTAACATGTGTAATCCACATAGTACATGGCGGTCGTACTCACCACATACAATCTGCCATAATGGATTTGTATGAAAGAGTCATCATTCATGTCGGCATTGTTGATTTCCGGCCCCAAAGCACCTGGAAAGGACATAGATGTTTTCCTTAGGCCGTTAGTGGAAGAGCTTAAGCTTTTGTGGCACTCAGGCGTACGTATTAAAGACGCAACGACAAACACATTCTTCACGATGAAAGATATTTTGTTATGGACAATAAACTACTTTCCATCTTGTAGTAGTTTATCGGATTGGAGCGGACAAGGGTATAGAGCATGCCGACTTACCATGAAGATATTCCCTCGTACCTCGCAACAAATAAATTTATGTCGGTCATTGTCGGTTCTTAGATGCTAATGATCCATTAAGGATGCGTTTGAAATTTAACGGGCCACATGAGACAAGACTCGCTCCGAGACACAATACTGATGAAGACATACAAGAGCAACTAGTTATTCAAAAACTCTCTAGACCAGGTAGCAACAGTTGCAAGAAATGCCTTTTCCTCAAAGGGACTTTTGTCATCCCAAATGCTACCAGACTATATTAAATATAAAATTAAATATATTCATTAACAAAACAAATATTTTGATGCAATAGACAAAATGAACAAATATTAAAAGGTACTTACTTTACTTGGAAATCCAGGTTGTCTTGTCGTCAAGAAATCAAACATCCATCACATTACATAATGCCCACTCTCTAAACCACCAAGTTGTTGGTTGCACTAAAAATTGTAGAAAAAAGTGAACATTAATCAAACAAATGAAACTACAACAATTATTTGTTTTCGTATATAACAAGATGAATTACCTCAACAAAAATCCATCCAATTGGAGTTGAAGTGTCTTTTTCATACCTCATGAAAGCCCTTAAAAGAAATAAACAAGTGTTGTGTTCAAAATAATAAAAAGAATTATATCTTGCTATTAGTAAGTAATTTCTTACATGTCCACATGTTTTTGGAGCAGGTAAGGTAGTCGGCAGACTTTTCTATACGATCCTTAAGAGAATCTAAAATATAAACAATGCGATTGCGAAGGGAAATCACCAAGAGCACCCAATGCTTACTAGAAATGTTTAAACATTTAGTATAAATAATAAGCAAAAAAACAAAAGAATAATAATAAAGATAACAACTTATTGTACTTTTGCAAATATGGTGCAACAAGAAACAATTTTCCGTGGTGCAGACGAATGGAATCAACAAGATAACTAACAACACCCTCTGGGTTTTTCTGGCATGCCTCCCCTAGAATATTATAGGGGTTCAAGAAAGCACATTTTTTCATGCGTGTTCGAACCATTGAATAAAGAATCCTACAAACAAGAAAACAAAAAATGTTATGTTCAACTAATAATAACAAAATTTTAATGGACTTACAGTTGCCAAGCAGTCAAGATGGAAGCATCAGTTGTTTGTTTTCTCAACAATCGAAAATATTCTTCACTTGTAACCGAAAAATCATATGTCACGACTTCCAAGATCCCAGAATCGGCTACAATGTTAACCACTGGGTTGGTCTTCAAGCAATCACGAAGATATTCAATCGGCCTTGCCTTGCTGGCTGCTTGGTTGGGTATGTTCTTGTTTGTACCAGCCCTTGCATTTGTTGGCACCAAACTTGTGGTTGGAATTTGTTTCTTAGTTCTTTGTTCCTACATTTAGTTCATTTTACTATCACATACAATTATAATTTGTTGTTTATATAGTAGCTTAAAAAGTAAAGGATAATGCATATGTACCTTTGCGAGAATAATTGCAATCCGGGGCCATTGAATTACAGTGCCAACCGCCCCTTGTAGGTTAGCAACTTCTTTTTGTTGGATTAGGTGTCTAAGCCCATAACTATTTTGGTATGTACTTGGCCCGATTATGAGCATGGTCCTTTTGGGCTGCCTTCACCATAACAACTGATAGGATGAATTAAGGAGAAAGAGGATTAATTATGATTTATTAATATATTATAAGAATAATATATTAAAAGAGAAATCATAGTATTTAATTAATACTAGTCAAGAATTAATTAAGAATTAATTTTGTGGCTAAAAGAGATTAATTAAATAAAGGGGACTGATATTGTAATTATATGATAGTTGCAAATTTGGCTATGAATTCCTAATGGAAAGGGGATTGGACGAAATATATGGGAAGCCCATATGGATTTTGTCCAAGGGCTTTCTAAGGGAACTCCATGGGTTGCTTAAGGCCTAAGCAGAGAATTAGGGTTTCACCTGAAACCCTAGCAGCCCACACAAGTATATAAAGATCCATAGGGCTCCCAAAAACGTGGCTAAGCATTCTCTTGAAGATCTTGGACGTTTTTGGTGCCTCCTCCCTCTCTCCTAAGTCATCTTGTTGCTAGTGGTGTTTGTGACTCCATTAGAGGTGCCACATTTGAGGCACCAAGCTTTCAAGAGTTAATATCAAGGAGATTTGTGATTGTTATTGGTACATAACAATCAAGGTAAAGATCTAAACCCTTTTATTATGATGATATCGATTATTATATGCTAGATCTAGGATTTATGAGCTTTGGATGATTATTGCATGTTCATTAGACAAACGAGATCCAAATCTTTTCAAAACTTGCCCTCAAGTTTTGGAATTTGAATATTTGATTAAAAGTTTAATTTTGAAATATTAAATTCTAAAACCCTAGTATTTGAAAAGTTCAAATTACACCCTTATGGTTTTATTAAGTTAATTAAGTGTATAATTAAAAGAGAGTTAATAAATCCATAATGATTTGGTTAATTTTTAATTAAATTAAAAGTATAATTTATTGAATTAGACCACATAGTATTTTAAAAGTATAAAATACACCTTATACTATATAACATTTAAAAGTTTAACATATTATATATGTATGAGTAAAGAGTCAGTCTTACCGTTAGTAGGCCTCATTCACGAAGCTGGTCTCTAAGGGGTGTTTAAGGAAATTGTTTATAAAATGACGATTGAATGGGTATCCACTCTTACCCACCGCACTCATGACTAGTGGAGGGTCGTTAGCCGAACGGGTAGGATAGGACACAACCTTCCATTATAAGTATAATGAAATACGAAGTAACTAAACGCTTTTATAAATTCCCAAATCTTAGTTACTTTAGGAAAAAGTGAATTTGATGCAATTACATGAAATTACACTTTGTACCATTGCTAAGACGTTAGTGGAGCGTGTGTGGTTAACCGGCACACTAATTTGGCTCTAAGAAAAGGTGGAAAAGGGTGACTCGATGTTTTTCATAGATCGATGGAGCGTGTGTGGTTAACCAACACGTCGATTAGGTGACTGTAACATTGGGGGCACCATGTACATTTGCATGGTTATTCACACCCGGTTTGTGATCCTCGGCATCCCAGTCACAAACTTGTGGGGCATATCGAGATTTAAACATGCCATTGAAAAGTTCAATGAATCTCAAAAGATCTAGGAGTTTCAATTCATTTAAAACTTAAACCTTCAATTTTCGTTTTTCATGGTGGAAATTGGTAAATCGTCATTTACATACCTTCAAATGTTTTTCAAATTGGATTACGGCATCCCTCTTCCAATTTGTAGGATATTGTGTTGGGTCCTAGCCTTGATATTTCATTTGGGTGTTATATCAAGGATTCCAATCAACTAACTTGAACTTTATCCCGTTTTGTAGATGTCAAAGTCTGACAACTATGGTCTTCCTGAATCCGTTGAAAAAAGTTTTCCACTTAAAGATGATGTTCCACGATTGGATTGTGGAAAAGGTAATCATGCTTCACTTCCTCCACCTCCTCCAATAGTTCTCCCCGACCCACAAGTTCGAAGGCTTGAAAAGTTCAAGATCACTCAAGCCCTATTGGCAAAAAGACATGAAGATGGGAAGTCTGTGTGTGCACACGTCTTAGAGACGAAGTCACACATTAACAAGTTGAAAATGATGGGTGTTGTTTTCCCAGGGAAGTTGGTTGTCGACTGGGCTCTTCAATCACTTCCTAAATCATATAGTGAGTTCATTAGAGAGTACTATATGATGGATCACGATGTTACCCTCATTGAGTTGACTTATTTGCTTATTGCTGCTGAATCAGCAATGATTTGGCGCAATGGTAAAACAAATGTGTCTGGTAAGTCAACCTCCCAAACTTATATGGACATTGATGGCGACATCGGAAGTCCAGAAAAGTTTTCTCTACGCAAGAGAAAGGCTGAGTCTGAGATTGTCCCGTGTGCTATTCCGAAGAAGTCCACTTGTTTCTATTGCCAAGAGAAGGAACATTGGTTATGAAGTTGCCGCAATTATCTGAAGGATCGCGAAGATGGGAGAGTCAAGCTGTATGAATCTGCTTCGGTTAAAATCCACCATCTAACTCTATTAAGTTCCTATTTTTTTTATTCATAATACATGATGTGATAAGATTGCATTTTGATGTTTTGTAGGATAGAAGAAAAGAGAGGAAGCTTAAAGAAAGAGCGAGCTGAGTCTAATCACGAAGAAATGGATTTCGATCGCATGATTCGAGGATTGGATTTTTGAGATGCTACTTAGAGAGTTATGATAGATTGCTTAGGAATATGTAATATCATAGTTTTCATTTGAATTTTTGTTGTAAGGACAAGTTTTCTGCACCTTTTTATAAATAAAATAAATTTTGAGTTTTGTCTTATTTATATCCTTGCAATGTCATTTGTGAAAATTGATGCTTGTGTGTTTCTAATATAAGCAATATTAATTGGATGTGATTCTTAGTTATGTTATTTATGGTAGTGTCGTAATTTTCTAAGTAAGGAAAGATTCCCATCACCCAAGTTTCAATTGGACAAAAACTTGGAATCATACAACTTGTATTGTGTGATGTATGGAAATCTTGGTACTTAGGTAATTAAGACTAGTTCCTTGTTCACATAAGTATGTGAGTCAAGTGAAGGACTAAAGGGTCTAGTGCACAATGTTGTGTGCTGATCAAGTCCACCATAAATAACAATGACATTATTCGTCATGATTTACTAAAGGTTTAGTAAATATGATTATGCTTATAAGATTAAGTGTAATTCTGAAACATTGGAAAAGTTTCAATGTTTGGCAGAACAAATAAGAAGAATCAATTAGGCAGAAAGATAAAAGTTTCTTCAATCTGAAAAGATGGGAGAGTACTTTTGTATCGTGTTTTATGATCGTGTAAGTGATTATAAAACCATATCACAATTGATCCTCTAAGCAGAGGAGTCGTGAATTATTGAAATGGTTAAATCAAAAGGTGAATCATACTTCGTTCCAAAATCAAGTCTTAGATTTGTACTCCAAGATTATGTATTGAGTGACACGTCTTAAGTAAGTAACACATCTACAATAGGTTTATAACACTCATCAAATGTGGAGTAGAAAAGTTTCTTACTTTTACGCATTTGAAAATTGGTAAGTTGTGATGTCTTGGATAAGACAAAGACCAACTAAGACCAGTTGTGTGAAGTGTTTGTCTTGATAAGAACCCGCACTAACTCTTGAATATTTGTTTGTCGAGGAATTTTTCTTGACAAGAGAATCTTATATGTCAAGAGGTTAGCAGGAGTCTTAAAGATCTTGAAAGGTTTCAAGAACTAATCAAGAGTAAACCTATTGTTAATCACTAGCACACAGCTTGAGGTTTGTAACCTATCGTGTTGACATATTCTTGTTTCTATGCCATTCCAGCAAAGTTAATTATGCATATGAGCTCTACGAGTTCTCAAAAAGTGAATCATACTTCATTCCAAAATCAAGTCTTAGAGTTGTACTCCAAGATTGTGTATTGAGTGACACGTCTTAAGTAAGTAACACATCTACAATAGGTTTATAACACTCATCAAATGTGGAGTAGAAAAGTTTCTTACTTTTGCACATTTGAAAATTGGTAAGTTGTGATGTCTTGGATAAGACAAAGACCAACTAAGACCAATTGTGTGAAGTGTTTGTCTTGATAAGAACCCGCACTAACTCTTGAATATTTGTTTGTCGAGGAATGTTTCTTGACAAGAGAATCTTATATGTCAAGAGGTTAGTGGGAGTCTTAAAGATCTTGAAAGGTTTCAAAAACTAATCAAGAGTAAACCTATTATTAATCACTAGCAGACGGCTTGAGGTTTGTAACCTATCGTGTTGACATATTCTTGTTTCTATGCCATTCCAGCAAAGTTACTTATGTATATGAGTTCTACGAGTTCTCAATTGACTGCATCAAGGCTAGCACCTTGTTCAATGAAAGTGCATTGACTGGTATAGGTGAGCTGCTAAATAACTTGGAAGCATTGGTAGGACCATTGATGACAAGAAAGGAAGAATGAACAAGTTCTGTCCATAAGAGTTTGGATTTGTCACAAGCATTATCTTATGATTATGGTTATGACAAATTCACATGGATATGAACACATGCACCATAAAATCTAAGTGTCATAAGGTTTCTCTCCGCTTCATGAAAATGATTGTGAGGAAACACTTTCACTAAGAGAGGTTTTAAGGAGATAGCAATTGTGTAAATTGCATTCTCAAATTCGATTATGATTACGGCATCCCTCTTCATAGTTCGAATTGTGAGATTTGGCAATTAGTTTGAACATTCGAGACTTATTGCTATAAGTTCTAGAATTGTTTAGACACACATGTAACCTATCTAAGGAAAGGTGTATGAGTTTAAGAAGCTTATATAAAAGCTTATTGAAGCATCTCATATTAGAAACATGAACTTTGGTTAAGAAAGTCAATAAGTATTGTTTTCCAGAAGTTTAGTTGTTTTCTGAGTACATGTCAAAGCTAGTGGGAGCATAAATGTTATGCTAGTATGGATATAATCATCATGTTAGTGGGAGCATGATTATTATTTTAAGTATTGCAAGCTAGCAATATTAATTATAGAAAACAAAAGTTTC